AAGGGGTAAAAACCGTTTAGGCGATCGGCCCCCTTTCCAGAGGTACAGGCACAGCTACTGCAGAACACCTCCAACTCCTGAACTGGAACCTCCCAAATAGCTGCTAGCAGACGAACAGAAAAAGCAGACAATCAGCTTACACTCCTGGCAATCAGTCTCTAACAGCATACAGTGAATCCCCCCAAGAACGAGACAATGCTCCGTGTTGAGGGTCAAGCAGTGGTCTGAGGTGCTGGCACACCCAGCCTGGTTTTTCTTACAGTCTTGCAAATACAGGACCGCCCACAGGGAGGTATAAAATATCCAGTAACATATTAGTTACAACCCACTGATTCCCTCCCCCTTATCCTGAGAGGTAACTCAATTACACATACTTTTTACCACAATGCATCCTGGCTTCCTCTCCTCTGCCCAGAAGATAATTGAGAAGTAATTAAATTATCTCCCAGGACAGAGACAAGACTCCATTATGCACATGGTTAGCACAAAGCATTAAAATACTGTACAATACACAAAGTCCCATTTTATACATAAAACAAGCATTACTGTTAAAATACACCAGGTAAGACACATAACATTAAAACTATACATTTAACATATCCCCAGATAGCTCAGGTCTGAGCGCACATTATTAAGTGAATGGCGCTCAGACCACACGAATACAGTTTAATCGCCATGGAGCCAAAGTCTTTACAGTCAGTTTCATATGAATGGGCTCCATGGGATTCCTATCTGGGGTATAACACATTCAAACAAATCTACCGAACCCCAGGCAGAAAAGCACGAATGAAGCTTTTCTGCAAGTAAAAAAGATGTCTTTTAACAGGGGGCCATAGTCCAAAGGCAGCAGGCGAGCAACCAGGCTTCTCCAATGCAATGTGGCGAGATTGGTCTCGTCACAGCGCCTTCAACACTATTGGCGCATTCCTCGGCTGAGGCACAGGCCGACACTCCTTGCCGGTAGCTGCGCTCATCCTTTGGGGGATGCGTTCGGTGTTAGAGGCGAAGCGTGAATGACTTACATGCTATTAACATTCACACAGCCCTTGGTGAGAAAATCTTGCATAGCCCATAGACATCGTCCCCAGGAATCTCCCCCTCCCCCCAACAATCCCTCTGTCCTCAGTTAGAGCTACTAGACTAGTAGCAGTAGGTGCCTAAGCATCTCCCATTATATCATGCAATGACAAACATATATTTACATATACTGGTATACTGTAGAGGACGTTCGGAGGAAGAGAGAGTCCTTTAGGCCTTGACAGGCGAGCCCACCATTTGCCATTCTCCATGTAGTCGCTTCTGTGGTGCAGTAGTGGCCGCTACCGACATGTGGGTTGGGAACAGTCCCCATTCTTTTATTAGGCGCATGCCCACCTACGGCTCATTTACGGTATGGTTCGCCATATGATGAGTTTCGTAGGGTACCCCCCAACGGTATGGGATAACGTGGTTCCTCAGAGATTTTGTTACCATGACGAATTCCCTCCGGCGAGACATCGTCAGCGCGGAAAGATCCGCATATAAGTGAACACCTGTGTATGGTTCTGGTAGTTTATCCGTTTTACGTGATGCTGTTAACAATGCGTCTTTAGATTTGAAATAGTGAAACCTCAGGACCACGTCGCGAGGTGTTTTAGGTGCCAACCTCGGGGGTCTTGGAAGGCGGTGGGCCCGGTCTAGCAACCAGTCTCCCTCGGTAACGTCGGGTTGTAGTGTTTTGCATAGTCCCGCAATATAAGCTGATAGCTCTTCCGTGCTCACTTTTTCAGAAATGCCCCGGAAGTGGACATTGTTCCTCCTGGACCGGCCCTCCAAGTCGGCTAGTTTGCGTTTGAGCATTTGTTGTTCTTCCACTAATTGGTGCACCGTGTCAGCAAGCGTATAGTGCTCCGTGCATATATCTTCTGTGCGGGCTTCCAGCCGGTTCGTCCGCTCACCCAGGTCAGAAATCTCTCTTTTGATTTCACCTGTCTCCCTCCTGACATCCGTCTGGAGTGTGACTCTGAATTCCTGCAGCATGGTGTACAACTTTTTTTCAGTGACTGGAGCATTAGTATATTGACATGCGTCTCAGTCTGACTCCAGCAGGGCTTCAGATGGTTGAGTATGGAATGGGCCGTCGTTTCCATCTTGAGTAGGCCGCTGTAGCAGAGCGGCAATATTAAATCTCCGCTGGTTCAGAAGGTAATCCACAGTCAAGCGCTGAAAAGCAAGGCAATATCCCAAATCTCCCAGTAACCGGACAAAACACAGTTGAAGGCTTTATTCACAGGCTCCACAATTTATACAATTCCCCATGCAAGGGGTTTCCTGAGTCCTATCCCAGGGGTATTCCAGGGGTGGACTACGTGGGCAACTTACAGTACAGAGCATTTCCCCCATCAGGCACTGCTGCACGAGAGGGATCCTCCTACTGGAATGTACCGTTAAGTGGATTATCCCTCCGTGCAGTGGAACCGGCAATTTATATTAAAATATACAGCTTTTCAAATATTAGGTCTATTTGCACGAATGGACGTTCGGTAGATAGCTGGGGTCTGAGCGCATCATTCGTGAGATTACCGCTCAGATCCCAGCTAAAACAACCGAACGCCGCACGAAAAACATATTCATCAAAACATATATTTAAAAGACCGATTGATATATGGGGAATAAAATACCGAACAGCCCGGAACTCCCGAACGGCCTGGAAGTCCAGCGGTGTTCGCGCCATCGAGTAGCCGATCAGGGGCAGAGCCAAACACAGCCCTGGCCACATAAAGATGTATTGAATCAATGCATATTTGTGAGGAAAGTTCAGTGTCTCCATGCAAAGGGAGGAGACACTGAATGGCAATGCTGCACACTGTGCAGCACTGCCCAAGGAAGCACCTCTAGTAGTCATCTGAGGAGTGGCCATTGTAGTTTTTCCTAGGCTGTAATGTAAACTCTGAAAAAGACAGTGTTTATTGCAAAAAGCCTGTAGGGAATGATTATTTGTAGACTTGGGCATTCATATTCGTACGAATGGATTTTCATACAAAAATATGCATTTTCGTCCATTCGTACGAATACCGAATAGCGAATGGCTATACAAACTAATTAATGAACAAACAAATGGGCGTCCAATGAAATTCTTCCATGAGCCTTTCATTAGTTCGTTAATTCAGCCTCTTGAATTACACTCTGTGTGATTCAAAAAGCCGAACTAGTAACCGAATGAACGAATGGCAAATTAATGAATGCGTACTAATTAGCCGAATTAATGAATGCGTACTAATGAATGTTCCTTTCGTTCATTCGTATCACTAGTTCGGCTTTTTGAATTACAGACAGGCAGTATTGTAATGTATTGCAATGCAAACTGCCGAACGAGCAACGTTCGTGAACTGAATGAACACCTCATTCGTTCATTCATGCTTTTTCAATGCATTGCTAATGGGGATGGTAGAAACGAATGAACTAATGAACTAATTTGCCTCAATTCATGTTTTAGTTAATTCGGATACCTTGTATGAAACAAAGAAGAGGTGTATGGGAGTGAGCTGATTTTCATTTATTCAATCAGCTCACTCCTATGACATGATGCTGAAGGGGTTTATCCATTGCTACGTGCTGTATCGTAGATGGGTTTAGGAGTGAGCTGATTTTCATTTGTCCAATCAGCTCACTCCTATGACAGGATGCTGTAGGGACTTATCCAATGGTATGTGCTGTATTGTAGATGGGTTTGGGAGTCAGCTGATTTTCATTTATCTAATCAGCTCACTCCTGTGACATGATGCTGTAGGGACTTATCCAATGATATGTGCTTAAGTTGGGATTTAAAAAATAACTAAACAGCAGTATAAAAGCAGGCAGGGGATCTTTCTCTGCCCTTCTTTGACTAAGTTTTGTTGGTAAAACACTGTGATTCTGTGCTGTGCTAGCCTCATTACTTGTCTTAGAGATTTTCTGTGAGTCTTGGTGTGCCTGCCATTTCTCACTTGTTGAATTTGAAACTATTCCTGAGACTTTTTTAACATTTTTGTGCTTTCTGAGAGCTGTGCATTTCTGTGCTGCTGACTGAGT